TCCCCATCTCCCCCCGCGCCGCTCCCCTCCCCTCCCCGGGTGTCAGTCCGTAAAGGAGACACCGTCGTGTCTTCACGATTAACCCCCTGGCTCTGCAGTGCGGGGCCGGAGAGGAGCCCGGGGGTCCCCCGGACCCCTCCCGCCCCGGCCCAGCCCAGCGCAGGCTCGCGGGGGAGATTTAGTCTCATTGCTTCTCCGGGGCGGGGGTGTGGGGGGAGTGGGGGGCGAGCCTCAGCAGGAAGCAAAAAATCCGGAGGAGGAGTGAAAGCGCTGGAGGAAGCTGGATCTCAGGATGTAGCCCTGCGAGGAGCGGCTCCCCGGCAAGGTAAGAGGAGCAGGGCTATTGCCGGCCGGCTGCCGGGGGGGTTTGCCGGCTGCCGAGGGGGGCGGGGGGGGGTTGCCGGCTGCGTTGCCATCCGCCGGGGGGTGGGGTGGGGGGCACAAGGCTGCAGCCAGCTGGATGCTGGCGAGCGAGTCCAGCCTGGTGGCTAATGCGCGCAATCGATCAACAGTTAGTCGCCTACTTTGCAAGGGCTCGTCCCTGCCTGGACGTGGGCGGGGGGTGGGGAGGGGACGACCCCCCCCCCCACTTTCCCTGGGCGAAGCGGGGGGGGTGCCCGGGCCTCAGCCCCGGCTCCGCAGCTCGCTCTAGTCTCTCTCCCGCTGGGGCGGAATCTCGCCAGGCTCTCGGCGGAGGTCGCTGGTGGCTTCCCCCCGCCGGGGCTGCAAAGGGGCCGGCTGGGTGCGAGGGGCGAGCGGAGCCCGGGCAGGGCTCGCTCCCGGGGCTGGTTCGAGGTGCAGACGCCCCGCAAGCGGGGCCGGGGGGGGGAGTTGCTGTAGGGGAGAAAGCGACTTGGGGGCGTCTTGCGGCGGGGTGGGGGGTATGTGTCTCCCCGAGCTGCAGAAACTTGCGGGGCTCAGTCATCTGCCTGCTGGGGAGGGAGGTGAGACCCCCCCAGAGATTTAAACCCTGGGAGCAGAGCAACCCCCCAACTAGGGGCCCCCCAAGTTTGCGGGGCTTCCTGGTGTGGGGGTATCTCCCCCCCCGCAGACGCGCCCCGGGAGCTAGCGCTGGGCTGGGGGGTCCCGGCCCGGTCCGCTGGGAATTCCCCCAGGCAGCTACCGGCCGCTCCGGCTGCACCAGCGATTTTAAATAGTTACAACGGGGCCTGACTCTCCTCAATGCCCGTCAGGGGTTTCTGGTTGTTGAGCCACTCAGCAGTTCCTTCAGGTGACTGCCCGATCCTGGGGGCGCTCAGCCCCTGTTGGCTTGGCTAGGGGTGCCCTGGCTGGGGTGCCCTGGCAGGGGTGCCCTGCGGAGTATCTCCAGACTGGGAAGCATGCAGAATGAGAAGCCGTTGTGGAAAACGTGGGCCCGTGCCTCAGTTTCCCCACCTGTAAAATAGGGGTGGGGACGCTGCTCTGCCCCGTGGGCGGTGAGGCTAAATGAATACCTGTGTGCAGTGCTCAGAGGCTCTCTGACGGAGGGTGACACAGAAGCACTGAGGGGCCTGAGCTTGGATCCCAGCAATTTTCCCAGAGGAGGTCCCCAAAGTAAGGCCCAGATCCTGTGAGCTGCTGTGCCTGGGGTGTGCGCTGTGCCCAGCTGTGCTGCGCAGCGGGCAGGATCAGGCACTCCGATTGCCCAGGACAGGCTGCTGTGACGCAGAGGGTGCGGGCAGGAACTCCCGAGCTCCTGGGTTTTACGGGCTGGATTTGGTTCTTCGCTGGTTTTCTTTTTTTGATGGCTACTTTGATTGATAGTAAATGCTGCTGCTTGGACAGGCCTTCCCCCTGCTCAGCGATCTGCTTGTGGTGCCGTTCCCGAAGAGAACACCACGCTCTGCGTGCCGGATAGGGGCTGCCTCGTAAAGAGCGGGCGCGGTGGGTCTGATTTCCTCTCCCTTACAGCGGGGTAGCTCTGCTGACGCCAGTGGAGTCATTGCTGAGTCACACAGAGCAGAATCAGGCCCTGGGCTTCCAGCTGTTGTTTGAAAGCAGGGAGGGTTGGGTTTGGGCCTCATTCTCCTCCCTAAATCCAACAATCTCTCCACCAGGAGCCTGGTGATGGGCAGTAGCATCGCTCAGTCTCTGATCCCGGCCTCTGTGGATGTGGATTCTTCCTTTGTTGACTTAAATTGGAGCAGGATCAGGCCCTAAATGTAGATTCAGCTAAAAAGGTAGCGTGATGGAATGACCGCCAGCCTGGGACATCCGCTGGGTTTGAATCGGGGACCTCTGGCACTGCACTGCAGACCTCCTTTAGGTCAGCTACAGGAGTAACTCCATTAGCTACCAGCAGAAGTAGGGCTGTTATCCCATAGTAGGCAGGCCAGCTGGAAAGGGGATGGGACACAGGTACACACCAAAGGCAGGCCTGGAGATCTGGCATAAGGTGAAACCTTCTTCCCTTCAGAATGTGATGATGAGGGTTACACGTGTTCTCATGGCGCTGTGCTGTGGGTATCCATGCCGGGACAGCTCCCTGGCATCTGTTTGTTGATGGCTCTCTGGTGGGCAGTGCTGTTCCGTTGTTGGGAATTCTATGGGGCAGGGGCTGACAGACATTGCGAAGCGGCTTGGGGCATTTTGCTGGCACTAACATGTTTAGCCGATCGTGGGAAGATTTAATTCCCATGTTGGGCTCACCAGAATCAACCTCAGGCTGCCCAGCACGGAGTGATCTGGAGGGACATCCATCCCCAGCATGCCTGCTTATGCGGTCAGTGGCCTTGTGAAGGCCTGGGTTTGCCGTGTCCCCAGCACTGTTTTCGCTGGCAGCAAAACCCCCAATAAGGTTGCAGGGGACTGGTCTTTCTTACCAACAGCATTGGAGACCCCAGCATGGCGGGGGTGAGGTTGTCACTTATTGTAGGTCCTGGGTCTCTGTAAGTTACTAGAGCCTAGTCTCTGCAGTGATAGGAATTGGGTAGTACCCCTTTAAATAGTTTGGGAGTTCTCTAGTGGGCCTTCCTGTCTTCTGTTCCAGTCTTGCCTGGAATCTCACATGAAGACTGCAAGGCACCAGATGTATCTGGGATATGTATAACCTGGGTATGATATGTACAGCACCTGGAGTGGCGGGGGTCAGGAGAGACCCTGCTGGTGACAGACCCACCTGAGGACATCTGCTGCCCCCAATAGGTCCCTCCAGGGTGGGTTTCAGAGCCCGATTGGGAATGGCTGCAGGCTGTGCGAGGCCCGGCTCTGAGACTTAGGTTTTTTGCAGTGTAGATGTACTCTCGGGGGTACATCCATTGGCAGGTTTATTGCTGGCCTCTAGACCCTGAGCACGAGGGCCTCTAGACCCTGAGCATCCGAACTGATGGAATGAAAATACAGCTGGGCGGATGGTCATTTATAACGCTAAGCCCCCATAAGATGGCCCTGGCACCCAAAAGAGGGCTGGATTCTGCCGGTGTGAATCTGGAGCGATTCCGGAACAGTTACTGTCGTATAAATGAGAGCAGGAGCTTGCTGGTAAAGTTTAGATTCCCTTAGGAAAGAGATGTCATTTCCTGTCTCTCTCGCTCTCCTTTTCATCCCACCCAAGTGCTTTTAAGTGCTCTCCTGTAAACATTTCCGTGTGTTCCCCAGCTGCCGGAGTCCTCGAGGACACTCCTCCGTAGGCAGCTGAGGGATCTCTTCTTTGACTGAGGGAGGGGATCTCGCCGTGAGGAGCAGCACACGATAGCATCACCGATGCACTTAGTGGAGGGGTTGGCAGGGGATCAGCCCTTTCATTGCATTTATCAAAGTGCCCGCGGCTCCCGTTTCAGCAGGAGTGTAAACACGAGAAATAAACCACCACCAACATAGCCACAGAGCCATTTGAGTCCCTGGAATGGGAAGTTGGCGCTGCCAGGGCGTGCACCCCTGGGGAGGTGGCACAGAGCGGGTCAACGTCAGGGTAGAGCTTGGTTGGGTAGACTCTCCGTGAACTGCATCTTGTAGTACGTAATGCCCTTGGTTAGCCTCTTCAGGCCTTAGCCCCAGCTTAGAGATTTCCGTACGGACAAGTTCTGGGCTTTGAGCAGGGCCCCAATGAAGCATGACCATCTCACAGCTACTTGGTGACCTGCGTGTGGCTTCGTCCGCACCCTAGAAATAATCTCAGCTCATAGAGTTTAAAGCCAGAAGGGGCCATTAGATCATTTCGTCCGTCTTCCTGTGTATCAAAGGCCGTTAGCTTTCATCCACTTGAGCCCAATAATTTGCATTTGACTAAAACATTTCAGTCCTGGGGAGGCCAAATGGGCGTGTGCCTCAGGCAGAGAACAGGAGAGACCCAGGTGCCATGTAGATCAGGGGTGGGCAAACTATGGGTCAGGGCTTTTAATCTGGCCCTTGAGCTCCATTGCCCCGCTCTGGCCAGGGAGTGGGGTTGGGGGCTTGCCCCGCTCCGGTGCCCCAACCCTGCTCCTTGTCTGGAGCACCGGGTGGCAGAGTGGGGCAAGTGATGGGGTGGGCCTGCCCTGGATGATAAATGGGTGGGCCACGGTCCGCCCGTGGCGCAGTGTGTCTTTTCTGATTTTAAAAAACACATATGGCCGACCATACAATTTCCATACCCGATGTGGCCCTCAGGCCACAAAATTTGCCCACCCATGATCTAGATCCTCCCTAGAGGGCAGCCGTCCCTCTGATTCCAGTGTGCAATAAAGCAGCTGCCGCAGACTGACCAGTTCAGGAGAAAGAGTGGGTCCCACTGGGGTGGTGGTGGACTGGAGTTAGGAGGGGAGTTTGCAGCACTGAAGGTGGTCTCAAGTCTAGCGTTAGTGGGCCGCTGTCCAGGTGGTAAAACCACCACTACCACCCGTTCCCTTGTTGCTGAGAGAGATCAAGGTCTGGATGGACCATGGGGACCCTACCCCAGCTTTACGGGGGGGTCTTTCCAGCTGGGGGCTGAGGCTCATTGTTGGGACACTGGCGTTTGGGAAGCTTGCCTTGCTGCTGCACCGACTCTGCGGATAATCAAAGGACTTAAATCACCACTTACGATCTTTCATCAGCACTAAACTCCCAGATGCACTGCCTTATCTACCTGCAGAGCATGGCCACTAGCTAGCACGTGGGTCATTGCCAGGACTCTGAATGCAAGTGATCCAGTGTACTGGGATATTAGTTAATAGTTGCTATTGGGGGTGGAGGGGGGTAAAAGGTTGTGCTATAAAAGGAGTGTAAGTTTTGGGACTGTAGTACCCATGCTGGGAACATAAGTCTCATACCTCAAGATACATCTGTGATGGAAGGGGGTCATTATAAGTAACGCCCTTCCCCTCCACACCATGGGTTTTATCATGGTCTAGCCTCGTGGTATGAAGG